CAGGCACGCGCCACCATGCCCAGCTAATTTTTTGTATTTTTAGTAGAGACGGGGTTTCACCATGTTGACCAGGATGGTCTCGATCTCTTGACCTCGTGATCCACCCGCGTCGGCCTCCCAAAGTGCTGGGATTACAGGCTTGAGCCACCGCGCCTGGCTCTTTTTCTAATTTTTTAAATAGTTTTGCATTTTATATTCACACCTATGATCAATTTTTAATTTTTGTACAAGGTGGGAGGTTTAGGATGAGTTTTTTTAAATTTTATTTTATGGATATCCAATTGCTTTCCCCCATTCCTTGAAAAGACTATTCTTCCTCCACTGAATGATTTTTGCAACTTAGTCAAAAATCAGGGTCATGGTGGCATGCTCTTGTAATCCCAGCTACTCGGGAGGCTGAGGCAGGAGGAGCTCTTGAGCCCAGGAACTCAAGATGAGCCTGAGCAGCAAAGAGAGACCTCCATCTCTAAAATAATAATAGTAATAATAAAAATCAGTTGGCAATACTAGTGTTGGGTCTATTATTTCTGTGTCATCTATTCTGTTCCACTGACCAAAGTGTTTTGTTTTGTTTTGTTTTGAGATGAAGTTTCACTCTTGTTGCCCAGGCTGGAGTGCAATGGCTCGATCTCAGCTCACCTCAACCTCTGCCTCAAAAGTTCAAGTGATTCTCCTGCCTCAGCCTCCCGAGCAGCTAGAACTACAGGTGCCCGCTACTACATAGGATTACAGGCGCCCACTACTACATCCAGCTATTTTGGGGGTATTTTTAGTAGAGACGGGGTTTCACCATGTTGGCCAGGCTGGTCTTGAACTCCTGACCTCAGGTGATTCACCCACCTTATCCTCCCAAAGTGTTGGGATTACAGGTGTTAGCCACTGCACCCAGACCTAGAGTTTTAAGACAAGTGGAGGCTGGGCACCCCAGTGCAGTGGCTCATGCCTGTAATCCCAGCACTTTGGGAGGCCATGGCAGGCGATCACCTGAGATCAGGAGTTCAAGACCAGCCTGGCCAACATGGTGAAACCCTGTCTTTACTAAAAATACCAAAAATTAGCGGGCACCTGTAATCCCAGCTACTTGGGAAACTGAGGCAGGAGAATTGCTTGAACCCGGGAAATGAAGGTTGCGGTCAGCAGAGATCACACCACTGCACTCCAGCCTGGCTGACAGAAGGAGATTCTGTCTAAAACAAAAAAACAAACAAACAAACAAACAAAAAAGACAGGTGGAGGTCTAAGAGAGAAAGAAGTATAGAAAAAGTATTCTTTGGCTGGGCTTCGTGGCTCACACCTGTAATCCCAGCACTTTGGGAGGCTGAGGCAGGTGGATCACCTGAAGTCAGGAGTTCGAGGCCAGCCTGGCCAACATGGTGAAACCCTGTGTCTACTAAAAACACAAATATTAGCTGTGCTTGGTAGCACATGCCTGTAATCCCAGTTACTCGGGAGGCTGAGGCAGGAGAATTGCTGGAATCCAGGGGAAAGAGATTGCAGTGAGCTGAGATTGTGCCACTGCACTCAAGCCTGGGTGACAGAGTAAGGCTCTGTCTCAAAAAAAACAAAAAAAGAAAAGAAAAGAAAAAATATCTTTTGAATTTGGCAGTTAGTGGTTAGTGATGACATTCATGATGAAGTGATGGAATTCCCAGAAGCCATATTGCCAAGAGCCGTGGGCTCAGGAGTGAGTGACTGTATGCCTGTCTAGGAAACTGAGGATACTAAACACACACACACAAATATTAAATACATTTGGCAATTTACACACCAAATATTTATTGATGTGTTTGGGTTGTTGTGTATCAGTAACTATACCTAATAAAAAGGAAAATCCACATCCGAAGTCTCCAGAAACGTTGGGCAGCCAGGTAAGGAGGAATAAGAGCATTTTAAAAAGCCAAAACCAAAACCAGGAAAAGCTAACAAAGAGTTTCCTCCAAATATCTGAAATTCATAGAGGCTGAATTCACATCTTTAGCCTCCATCCCCAAAGTGAATTTTAAGGGACTTAAAAAGCTTATATCCCACCTGAAAACATGTTGCATGATTTCCTCTTTCATGTATCCAGCTCCATACATTTCTCCATAAGTTTACTAGCAGATTATTTTGCTAGTAAAGAAATTTTAGGTGGTTTCATCTTTCCACCAATCACATCATAGTCTCCTGTTGTCACTCATGCAGTCAGTGTCTCTCTTTTTTTTTTTTTTTTTTTTGCAATTCTCTAGTACCTAGCATGTGGCTAGCATATAATAGATTCTCAATACATACTTGCTGAGTGGTTACTATATCATTATATCAATATTAAAATACTCAATTATTACCCTAATAAAAAAGGGAGATGCATTCCTTTATAACTGCCACTCTGAATTTTTTTCAGTTGTTTGGAATAAGAATAAAAATATGTACATAATTAATGTGCAAATAATGAATGGCAACAAAAATATAATTCTTCAAACCCATATTGGCTGGGCACAGTGGCTCACACTTGTAATTCTAGCAATTTGAGAAGCCAAGTGGGAGGATCACTTGAGCCCAGGAGTTCAAGACCAGCCTGGGCAACATAGTGAAATCTCATTTCTACAAATAATTTTTAAAAATTAGCTGAGCAGGCCAGGCACGGTGGCTCGTGCCTGTAAGATCACAAGGTCAGGAGCTGAAGACCAGCCTGGCCAATATGGTGAAACCCCGCCTCTACTAAAAATACAAAAATTAGCTGGGCATGGTGGCGGGTGCCTGTAGTCCTAGCTACTCTGGAGGCTGAGGCAGGAGGATAGCTTGAACCTGGGAGGTGGAGGTTGCAGTGAGCTTAGATGGTGCCATTGTACTCCAGTCTGGGTGACAGATTGAGACTCCGTCTTAAAAAAAAAAATTAGCTGAGCATGGTAGCATGTGACTGTAGTTTCAGCTACTCAGGAGGCTGAGGTGGGAGGACTGCTTGAGCCCAAGTGGTGGGGCTGCAGTGAGCTGAGATCACACCACTGCCCTCCAGCCTGGGTGACAGAGCAAAACCCTGTCTAAAACAAAAAAATCCATATTGCCATATTGTTGTTCATGACATGCTTGTTCCCTTGGGAAGATAAAATAAAAATCTCAGTTTCTAAATTTATCGCTTTTCTAGAATGGGACTTAGCAGGTGGTCTTAGATGAAACTACTTTGCAATAATTTCTTTGAACATTTTCAAAACAAGAAATATAAAAACTTGAACTCACTCCTTTTTTTTTCATTTCACTGTTCATCTGTCAAAAACAAACAAACAAGATATAATTAAATCAAGGAGAACATTTTAAAATTAATTTAAATTATTTAAAAATTAAATATATAGTTTAAAATATATCTATGATTCCTTTTAAAAACATTAGTTATGTTGAGATTGTCTTAACTACAAATTAAAATGATAGAAAAATAAACATTTTAAAGAGAAAACAAAGACTTACAGTTTGAGGATAATCAGGGGCTGGTAATACAGGTGTTCTTTTACCCAGTGTTCTGTCTAAATTTCTTTTGGCTTCATCAATTCTGAAATTCATAGTTAGAAATATGACTGTCTTGATAACATTAGCATAAGTTACTAAAACATTACAATTTGAGCATTCTTCCAACTATACTAAGAGATAATCAAGTTATCTTACTGAATTTTTTATAAGAAATAAATCCTAATAGACATTATCAATGAGACCTTAATTTTTAAATAATTCACATATATATAACAAGGTGAGAATAAAAATCAAATTTTTTCAATTATAACTTACTGATCATTTAAAAATGAATCCCAATGCATAGTGGGCGCTTATATGTATTATCTCTGTTCAAATGTCTGTCAGTCCGTCAGACGCCTCTCCCAACCCCCTGTATTAATAAGTAGCACCTCATGCACATCCATCCATTTTATCCTCACTTATCTTGCTTCAAAGCACTTACCATCATTTGATATAGTATATTTTGTAGACTGTTTTATTCATTGTGGCTATCTTCAGTGCCTAGAACAGTACCTGGCACATAGTAGATGCTCAAGAAACAGTTTACCTTTGGCCAGGCGCGGTGGCTCATGCCTGTAATCCTAGCACTTTGGGATGCCAAGGTGAGCAGATTGCCTGAGCTCAGGAGTTAGAGACAAGCCTGGGAAACATGTTGAAACCCTGTCTCTACTAAAATAAAAGAAATTAGCCAGACATGGTGGCATGCACCTATAGTCCCAGCTACTCGGGATGATTAGGCAGGAGAATTGCTTGAACCCAGAAGGCAGAGTGCAGTACGCAGAGATCGGGCCACTGCACTCCAGCCTGGGCGACAGAGCAAAACTCTGTCTCTAGCAAAAATAAATAAATAAATAAACAGTTTACCTTCAAAACTGTTTATAGATCTTTTGCATCCATAAGATATACTTTTCTCCTCAAATTAAGTTGTATAATCCTATTGTATAATCCATCAATCTGTCAACAAATATTTATTGAATGCCTACATTATGCAAATCACAACACTAGATCCTATTAAAATATAACAACAAATCTCAAGGACTGATGAACTGATTAGGTGAGAAGAAAAAAACAGAGTGCCATACAGGTACCCTGTGGTTCAGAGAGGGGACAAGTTCACTTCCATCTGTGAAGGCCACATACACATTAGCATTAGCAATGAGCTTTAAATGAAAGAGGATTTCAGAGGAAGACATAGTTTTCCTGGGATCTAAAAAAACAAAGACCTCAAGAAACAGAAGGGCAAGAAAAGGATCAACCCACCCAAAGGTGACAGTGTCAAGTAGAGATAAGTCTGGAGAAGAGCATTGAAACATCCAGCTAAACGTCTCAAAAACAAACTCTTTAATCCAATAGACAATAGGAAGTAATTGAGAGGTTTTGAGGATGGAAACGTATATAGGAAGACAAATCTAACAGTCTATAAGGCCAGATATACTAGAAGAGATGGCCAAAGCAAAAAGCACACAAGGTAAAGAAAAGAGAATTCAGGGAAGCTTGGAGGGTGTCAAGTATGACAGGAATGAGGAAAAATAACAATTGGATGAGCAAAGGAGATAACCATCAGATAGGTAAGAGGAGAACCCAAAAAAATCTGAAGGAAAGGGTGTCCACTGGAGCCATAAAACCACAGACTTGTAAACAGCATACAGACAAGGACCATGTCTATTTTGCTCACTGCTCTCCACTCACCACTTAAATGGTATCCACCAAGGTATAGAGGCTCAATAAGAATCTGTTGAATGAATGATCAGAATAGCATATTTGGAAATGATCTTGCATGTCTAGTTTAGTACCTTACCTGATAGATGAATTCTCTCAGCAATATCAAGCTGTACCCATGGTACTCCAGGGGCACAGCGTGAGAGTACCACGAGAGTACTGAGAAATGGGTAAGGGTGTTGGAAGAGAAGTGGCAGTCATCACTTTATTTTTTAAATTTTGTAGGTACATAGTAGGTGTATATATTTATAGGTTACATGAGATATTTTGATATAGGCATGTTATGCATAATGATCATATCAAGGTGAATAGGGTATCCATCACCTCAAGCATTTATCCTGTGTTTCAAACAATTCAATTATACTCTTTTAGTTATTTTTAAATGTACAATTAAATTATTTATATTATAGTCACCATGTCATGCTAGCAAATACTACTCATGTCCTACTTATTCTTTCTTCTTTTGTACCCATTAACCATCCCCAATTTCTCCCCCCGCAATCTTCCCCACTACCCTTTCACAGCCTCTGGTAACCATCCTTCTACTATCTCCATGAATTCAAAGAGTTTAATTTTTAGCACCCACAGATAAGTGAATGAGTTTAATTTTCAGTGCCCACAGATAAGTGAAAGCATGCAATGTTTGTCTTTCTGCGCCTGGCTTATTTCACTTAACATAATGACCATCCATTGTGGGTCAAGATGGCCGGGGGAGAGCTATGTTAATTCTAGCTAAATAATTATAAGCTTGCTTGGCTCAGAGTACACTGAAGTTTATACACTGAACTAAACTATATTATTGGTGCAGTTAATTAGAAATCAAGCGGCAACAGGAAGCATAAGGTAAACACCATCCCAGAGTGCAGTAACACCGGGAACACCTCCGGGTGGTTGCAGAGCATGGAATACTGCTCTGGTCCCACGAATGCCTTCTCAACATGGAGACTGCATGAGGAAAAAAAAAAGAGGGCTTATGCAAAGATCTCTGAGAAGGGAGGTGACCTCTGCTCACAAGATCTGGGGGGTCTTTGCAGATGGGAGCTGGCAAGGAGGAGAAAAGCCTTGCAGGGCAGAGATCACAGAACGCCTCAGGCTCTGCCTAGGTTTTTGGAATATGGAGTAATTTTAATTAAAAGCCCCTTGATGCATTGGGTGTGGTCGGCTCCTCATCCCCTATACTTCTGATGCAGCCGCACCCTGATAACAATTGGCGATAAACTCAGAGTACTAGTTTAGCATGTCTTAGAAGGATCTCAAGTGCTGTTAAATGCTCAGAGCACTAGTTTAGCGTATCTTAGAAGAATCTCAAGTGCTCTTCCCCCTCCCCGCAACTTACCCGCTCCTCCACCCTCCCCTTCCAGGACAGTAAGATCAACGAGATTATGCACATAATCAAAGTGTTTGGAGCCCAGAGCTCGGGGCCAATGGGATTCCCACACTTGTGTTGGTCCCCTGGACCCATGCTGTAACTTCTACTCTTGTGTCTCTGTCTTTATTTCCTTTTCTCAATCCCTTGTCACCACCGGGACTAAGGGCACACATGTATGGGGTTGGGACTGGTACCCAACAATCCATGTTGTTGCAAATGATAGGTTCTCATTCTTTTTTATGGCTGAATGGTACTCCATTATGTATATGTACCACATTTTCTTTATCCATTCATCTGGGTTTTTTGTTTTTGTTTTCTTTTCTTTTTTTAAAGCAAGTTTATTAGAGAAGTAAAGAAACGGAAGAATGGCTACTCCATAGACAGAACAGCCTGATGAGAACAAATCTTGATGTGTGTGATGAATTATATATTGTTTACTGAGAAACAATGGCAAGGAACACCAAGTCATCCCCAGGCAGAAAACTGCTCAGGGCGTTATAGAATAGTAAACAATACGTACCAGTCATACACTAGTTAAACCAGTTCTTAAAACACAGGATACATGACCCTGCCCGCATTGCTGCCTCTAAGAATGTTTTCTAGTTCGTTTTTAATTAGTAGTCAACAGGCACTAGCTGCCTGCCTAGTTAATCGTTATTCTATGAAAAAACATAGAACACCTGCTCGTTAAAAATAATCACTTGTTCACAAAAAATAAGTATGTGGGTCAGAGTCTGCTCTGTGCCTTTTAGCTGGGAATGCTGTCAGCCCCCTGATGTCCCACTCTGATTCCCTCTTTTGCTCTCTCTCTTTGTGTCTGTCTGTTTCTCCCTTCCTTCAGTACTACCTGAGTTGGGGTCTCCACTACTGAGCTGGTCTCAGCAGCAGCCCATTCATCTGTTTATGGATACTCAGGTTGCTTCCAAATCTTGACTATTACTGCAGTAAACATGGGAGAGCAGATACCTCTCTGCATACTGATTTCCTTTCTTTTGGGTATACACCTGGGAGTGGGATTGCTGAATCATATGGTAGCTCTATTTTTCATTTTCTGAGGAACCTCCAAACTGTTTGGCACGTATGGCAAACAGGTATATGAAAAGGTGCTCAACAACATTCATCATCAGAGAAATGCAAATCAAAACTACAATGAGATATCACCATGCCCAGCTAATTTTTGTATTTTTAGTAGGGACAGGGTTTCACCATGTTGGCCAGGCTGGTCTCTAACTCCTGACCCTAGGTGATCTGCCCCTGTGTGCCATTTTCAGTTCTTCTTTTGAGAAATGTCTATTCAGATCTTTTGCCTATTTTTAAAATCAGATTATTAGATTTCTTTTCCCTATAGAGTTTGTATTAGGCCATTCTTGCATTGCTATAAAGAAACATCTAAATGATTGTATTTATTTCCAACAGCGTATAGGGGTTCCCTTTTTTCCACATCCTTGCCAGCATTTGTTACTGCCTATCTTTTGGATAAAAGCCATTTTTAACTAGAGTGAGATGATATCTCATTGTAGTTTTGATTTTCATTTCTCTGATTATCAGTGATCTTGAGCACATTTTCCTATATTTGTTTGCCATTTTCTTTTCTTTTCATTTCTTTTTTTTTTTTGAGATGGAGTCTCACTCTGTCACCCAGGCTGGGGTGCGGGTAGCATGATCTCGGTTCACTGCAACCTCTGCCTCCCAGGTTCAAGCGATTCTCCTGCCTCAGCCTCCCAAGTAGCTGGGATCACAGTCACCCTCCACCATGCCCAGCTAATTTTTGTATTTTTAGTAGGGACGGGGTTTCACCATGTTGCCCAGGCTGGTCTCGAACTCCTAACCTCAGGTAATCCACCTCTTTTTCATTTTCATGTCTTCTATTGAGAAATGTCTATTCAGATCTTTTGCCTATTTTTTAATCAGACTAGTAGATTTTTCTTTTCCTATAGAGTTTGTATTAAGCC